TATTGAATTTATAAATTTTTTCATGTGCTTTGTTTCTTGCTTTACCTGATAATAAAGCAATTTACAGTACTTAGCTTTCAATTTTCTGGCCAATTTGATATGTTCATACCGCATTTTACATGCATACACACATGTATTCAATGTAATTGACGTAACTGGGTGGTAGCTCTCAGGAGAATCACACATGGCATAATACGCTAACAATATAAACATTTGTAAGTACACATTTATGATTTCATATACAATAAAGTCTTCAATATGAGAAACTTAATTGATATGATTATTTGAGGAGATGCACATTTTTATCACCGAACCTTTTGAAAAAAAAAATTCTTAAAGGGAAACTTCTTTACCGGAGGTTGTTTGGTTGGGAGTAAAGTGGCAAATTAAACGGAAATCGCACACGGCAATGATGCAACGGAAATGGTGCAACGGAAATGGTTGGGGCTGAAACAAGTGCTTCTTGTGTGTATGCATATGGTATTAATTTAACAAAAATTTGCTAGTGAAAGGTTAAAGAATAACACTTAGAAAAAGACCAATACAAGAATGAAAGTAAAGGTGAGTAGGCACATAGATAAAGAAAAGGATAAAGGCAAACGTAAAAATAAAAACAAAAACAAAGATGCGTAAAGTTAAAGGCAAAAATGAAGACCAAGGTAAATTTAAACACTTTACCTATATATATAAGGGTGAAGGGGAATATGTAGATGAAGAAAATGATAAACACAAAAGTAAAGACAAAGAGGGGGATGAGGCTACGAGTAAAAGTAAAGATGAAGATAGGGGAAGAAAAATTAAAATAAAGGTAATTAAAGAGGAAAGGATTTTATTATTATTATTATATATGTTCATCGATTTTGTTATAGATATTTTTATCGATATTTATCGATTTAGTTAGCGATATTTATCGGTTTTGTTATCGATTTTGTTATGGATATTTTTATCGATTTTGTTATCGGTATTGCTATCGATTTTGTTATGGATATTTTTATCGATATTTATCGACTTTGTTACGGACACTTTTATCGATTTTGTTGTTGATATTTTTATCGATATTTATCGACTTTGTTACGGATACTTTTATCGATTTTGTTGTTGATATTTTTATCGAGTTTCTAATAGATTTTGCTACCAATATTATTATCGATTTCGCTATCGAAAATTTTAACGAATTTTTCATAGATTTTGTTATCGATATTTTTATCGGTTTTGTTAGCGATATTTAATTGGATGTCACTATCGATTTTTCATCGATAGAGTATAAAGATAAAAATGAAGATAAGGGAAAACAGAATAGCGTAAATGCAATTAGAACGAACAGGGGTAGAGGTGGGGTAGATATAAAAAATACAAAAAATATAACCTTAGCAAAAGCAGATTTATGTATGTATGTATATACATAAGTATGTATGTATATTGATTATGAAACAAAACAGATATATAGATAACGTAAGTTGCATTTCTCCAGTGTGGCCCAGGCGCACTTCCTTTTTTATGATCACTTTTTGATTTGAAATACCTTTGCAATAAAGGATTCAGGATTTCCTTCCTCAGCATATACTTGATCACTATGCCCTAGTTCATTGGCATTTCCTCATAAAGCCGGACATGACTCAAATAAACTATGTGTATCAAAATTTTCATGCAGCCTTTGCCCCACTCTTTCTGTTTATATTGGTACATTGTGTAATGCCGGCTCTTCTAAATATACATAGTATAAAGGAAAGTCGAGATTCTTTCTACACGGTAATCTCGAAAACTACTGAATGGATTTTGCCGAGATTTTCTCTAATATTCTCTGTATCGACTGGAGAGGGATCTTTGTTTACTTAGAATTTTAATACGGTTGCCAACTGTCTAAAAACCTATAAGATCCGCACCGTTCGTTGGATATGAGGTACCTCTAGAAAAGCACTAATATTTTTCTTTTTAATAGGGTTGCCAGCTGTTAATAAAATTACTATATTCAATCGAAATAAGCGTAAGCATCAGTTCTTTAGCGTCACTTTCAAATGAAAAGACATAGCCTCTGGATGTGTGATAATGTATTATTTTTCTAAAAAGGGTTGTTACCTGTTTAAAAACTATAAGATCTTCACCGTACGTTGCATGTACAAAAACTTTAAGGTTCTTGAGTAGGGTTGTCACCTATTTAAAATTACTATCTTCTATACATAGTATAAAGGAAAGGCGAGATATTTTAACCGCGCTACTGAACGGATTTAGACAAGATTAAAGTAAATGTACATACATACATATGCATACATTCAGCGCGTGGTGAAGCCTAGCGCATCCGTGACCGGCTAGTTATCAGAATAATGAAACTTATTTTCATGAAACACAACATCACGACTCGTAAAAACATCCTTATTCTTGAAGCTATATACATACTCTAATTTCGAAGTTGTTGATTATTCAATATACCCTTCTCACATTTTGAATCTAACTTACGCTAAAAATTCAAAACTTACTCACATCAGATTTGTGTCCTGACCACAATTCCTCCATTATTTTGGATAACATTTTATGCGGTTATCGATTATTTATATAAGCAGCACAATTCACAGCCTCAGCCGAAAAATTTTTTGGCTAATGCGCGTCACTCATGGAAAAAGCAAGATCGACGTGCTTTTTCCATTAAATTGCGATTCATACTCTCTGCTAAGCCGTTTTGCTCGGGACTATAGCGGACCGTTGTTTGTTTTACGATTCCACATCGTTTCAACTCCATTTCCATAGAACGACTCACAAATTCTGTATCATTATCCCTTCGCAGAATTCTTGATATGCGTACTCTTCTGATTTTCCGCTTCCGCCTTAAATTGCTTGAAGCAATCTAGCACGCAATCTTTAGACTTTATAAAATACAGGTAGGAATTTCGCGTGTAAGCACGTACAAACGTTAAGAAATAACGATTTCCCTTCACAGATTTTACCTTTGTTGCTCTTGACCCTTCCGAATGAAAGCTTATTCGATTTTTCTTGCCCAATGAACATGTCTCAGAAAATATTTTCTCTTCCGTTTTAAACTGTATACCATCCATATACCCCTTGATTAACAACATCATTTTGCCTGCTCCTAAAAGTGCAAAACGTCTGTGCCAAGTCTCATATGGTATTTGAAAGACACAATTAAAACAACGTTTGGATTTCTTAGTTTTCGGTTTCTTCTCCCGAAAGTTTTTGTTTGATACCGTCTGCAGTGATCACCTTACCGCTACTTCCAATGGTCATAATCATTGGTTTATATCAGGCCTGGGCAGCTTTGGCAGAACTCCATAAGCAAGTGCACTGCGCTGTCCATCGCTGGTTTATATTCGTCGGGCAATCCTTTCAACAAAAGACTTCAAGCCTAGATAATCTTACGTAACGCGTTCCGATCCTTTGCAGCATCTAGTCCTTAAGCGTCCTCAGGTTCCAGTTCTAGCGGCGTACGCATTGCGAATCTCCATGTTGACCAATTCTCGGAGCTAACCAGCGATATATTCTGCTCACAGTCAACACTCTAAAAAATTAGTTTAAAAATTCGACCCTAAATCCAGTATATTTTATGAAATCAAACAGCAGTTGAATAATCGAGCATGTAATTTCGCGAATAACAAGGCAGGAAATCAGTAACCCACCTTTTAGTTAGGAAATCTACACAATTTTTTTAGAGTGAAGTGATCCTTAATTCATTTTTTTAATGCAAGCGGCCGGCCCATAACCTATTAGCAGAGTGTTCTTTATTGAAAGAATTTTATGAAGTGTATTTTTCTTCTCTCATAAGGCATTATTTATACAAAACGAATATTTAAAGCTATATAAATTTGTTCGCATAACGCGTCATGCTCTTACTTATGTAATTATTAGCACCTGAAAAGTTTTTCTGGCAAAAGGCGAACTTCGTGTTTATATGGTTTTGAAGAACGTGTGCGGTATATTAGAGGTTTTCTCGAAAGTATCTTTTTCGACTTAGGCGACCATTGCTTAGAAGCACAGATATCTTTCTAAAGCTAAACATCATAATGGTAGATCATAATTTTGTCCTAATATTTATGGTAACGACCCCAACTAAAAGATGTTGTAGACAGGAAGGAGACTAAAGAATTCCGGCTAGTCTTTTAGGTGCAGATGTCCTGAGCATACATATTATTATCTAAATACTTACTTCAGCGGATTTTAAGCTGTAAAAAGTTGTATACATATGTATATTGAGTTAAATATTACCGCTAGTCTACCTTTTGTATTATGAAAGATTCATATTTACATATATCTGTCCACTGGGTCCCCTATGAAAGAATTTTATTTTTCATACAACTTTGCTGAGTACGAGAAAGCATTCACTGTTTGATTAAATCAAAGAGCCAAAGTAAAGAACGGTAATAGTTTTATTTTTGAATACAATTTTAAATCTCTTTACCTAACTAAATAAAGAGCTTGAAGCCATTTTAATTTTTAACTTATGTATGATGTTCCAGCAAACAATCGGTATGTAGATATGCATCTAAGGATATGAAATTTTGAACGAATTTCCCAATATTATTCAAGTTTTATTTTCCAACATATTATCTTACCTAGTACTTAACTACATATCATACACTAGGGTAGGATTTTTCTATATCGAAAAAAAATATACAGAATCTTCAAGAGACTTCAAAAAATTATATCCAATTATTTATTTAACCATTTTTGAATATTAACTTTATTTTATGGGTTATCCAAAAAACCCAATAAAATTTATTGGGGGGACCCGTAAAATATCGTTAATAAAAAAAATTGTTGAATAAACAATTGAACACTACTACGAAAAACTTATAAATATTTTTTGATTTAAAAAATGATTATATTTTTTCCAATATAGAACTATCCTATAGGATGAGAGCACACAAAATCCGACTTTACTTTTCTCGCATGCATTTTTGTCCTAACATCCACATATGTATGTATATCTTGCAGATATATGTATATATAACTATATAAACCACAGTTTTAAATCTAGATTAAATGTGACTCAGTCCTAATTAATTCAATCGAAATTATTCAAAAACTGATTTCTTGTCTCGTCGATCAGTTGCTGATACCACGCATCATTGCCATTTGCTGCATCTTTTGTAACTTCCGTTAACGGTAATGGCTTCACGTTTTCCGATTTAATTTTCACAACAGCAGCATTGGATTTCGACGCCTGGGTACCATTTGCCACTTTAACGCTACTTTTGAGCATTTCTGTATTCATAGCTTTTTCCGCATTATTTGCTTTTGCCTTATTATACTTGTCCTGCGAAGCTTTGACCTCCGATTTTTCAGTTGTATGGTCCAACATTGGCGGCAATTGGAAAGGAACAATAGGGAAGTCGGTGGGCAGAAAATCATTAACCGTCTCAAAACCGACATGAGATTCTGTTTTGCCTGGTACTGTATGCAGTGGTACCTTGCCGTCGATAATATCTTGTACGGCGGTATGCATAATATCTCCGGTCGCACTTCCAGTCGCATTCACATCTATGCCATGCTGATCTTTGATTGCGTTTGCTGTCTTTTCGGGCGTTTTACTATTCGTCACATTCAAATGCAGATCTTTATCGTAAACTACATCTCCCGTTGGCATATCCGGAGGATGTTGCGTATGTATACTTGGTCGTTTGGTTGGCCAATGAGTTTGCCATTTCCGGTGATCAGCTGCCTCAAAGGTGCGTGTGTCATGCAGAAAGCCTCGCTCACTGTCCGACAGAAAGTGGGTGACAATAACGCGGCCATCTGGTCGCACATGTCCGAAGGAGCCTTCCACGGTGCCATTTACGTAGCGTCTTTCATCGCGGAATTGTACATTTCCCGTGCGGTTGTCATTCACTTCAAAGCCAAAAGCATAGGTGTTTGGGCCTTAAAAGAGGAAAAGAAGCAAAAGTTTTAATCCGCACCAGCTGAATCAAACCTATTCGATTTCAATCAACAGCATAGACACAATGTACTTACCAAATGGATCGCGTTGAAAGTAAGAGCTTGTAGCTGGGCTGCCACCCGTTTTCTTTATTGCTTGTGCTTTGGCGTAAGCCAAGCTTCGATTCGATAAGTCAGCTGCATTGCTGTAGTGTGCTTTTAGGCATAGCACATGGAGCTGGAAGTAAGTACGTTATATAAACATACAGTATGTAAGTTCCTATGTATGTAAGTTAAAATAAAATTACAGTAAAAACTGAAACAAAAGTGAAAGTTTGTAGAAATTGCACATAAATAAATTTCCTATAAAAGAATGGCCATTACTACTTGTATTTTCCAATTTGCTGGAACAAATACGATCCGAGGTTAAAATTGTGTATGTTGCTGAAACAAAACGATCCGAGCCTTTTACCTGAACATAAAAAAAAATCATTAAAGTACTTTCATTTGCCCGCAGCTTTGCCCGCGTGATGTTTGGTTTAACGCAACTATTTTAAATGTAACAACGAAGAAAACAAATAATTTCACCAAATACATATTAAAAAAAAAATCAAGCAATTCAAAGTAATGACATCAATTTCAATACATTTCTGTAAACAACGTTTCGGGACTTATTGTCTTGGATGTATATATAAAGATTTCTGGTTCTCGATACACGCGAGAACCCAACGTAAAGTTTTCCGTCCGACAAACATGAGTATCCAGATATATTACTGTTTGCCCCTGGCTGTTATTAATCGTTATCGCGAAGACTATTTTGAACGGAAACGGCAAACTTTTAAGCTGAAATTACGTGTTTGTTGGAATTATGGGAACTCGTGTTATCAACACTGATTGTCCTTTGCAAATTTGAGGTGCATCCAGGTATGACTGGGACCCCAATTTTTAATTCCAGTTTGCGGGACGGCACCCCTGACAATTCTTAAGAATTTAGAAACCCTATAGGATATATTGTTGCATCCTCATTTACCATCACTGTATCAACAGGCATGTATGTGGTCGTCTTACCAGGCATTTCAATAATTTTCTTATTGATGTTTCCCACTGATTCATTTTTAGGTGCTAAGATTGGTCAAGTTTTGTTGTAAATTAGGAAAAACTGTACTTATCTATTAGATAATATTTCGAACTAATAGCATTGCAAAAGCGACTTGCGAGTATGATAAGGCCATCACTGCCATGCAGACCTCCCCGGTCTTAAGGAGGTCTTGAGCAAAGAGACAGGACTCTCGATCATTGTACAACTGGATCCACATGTTAGTTATAAAGTTCAATATTTCCACCCTTGCCCACAAAGGCGAAGCCTTGATGCACGCACTTATTTCGCCTGCCGCAGGCCCTTGCTCGATCACTGGTAGCGTCTGCGAACATCTCCAGCTATCAATACGACTACTCGTCCAATCAGCAAACAGCTTCCGCGGACATCTTGCAAGCTTCGATCGAATGCCTCGACTGCATGCTTGTGTGACATCGTACATTCGCCCCAATTCTTAATTAATTGCATTGTTGCAACATAGCCCCGCCACCACTGTTTTCTCTAAAATTGCAGGTTGGTGTATCCTGACTTGCAAAGTTATACATATGTTAGTGTTTGGCCGAGCTTCTCCTCCGACTTGTGGCGTGCGCCTTGGTGTTGTCACACAAATTGGAGTGACCTACAGTTTTACGCCGACTCCGAACGGCGAATGGATTTTTATGAGAAGCTGTTTTTCATGGCAGAAGTACCTCGGCGATTTGCCATTGCCTGCCGAGGGGCGACCGCTGTTAAGAAAAACCCTGTTTTTCTAAATTTTGTTTGCGATGTTGCTTTGACCAGGTCTTGAACCCAGGCGCTGTTGAGTGGAAGCGCGCACTATTTACCACTGCACCACAGCAGCGACTCGCAAGGTTCAAAGGGAGCTTAAACACCGCTGAGCAAGGTAGTTGCTATCCCTGATGGAAATGTCCTGCCAGTTCCCCCGGTGCGTCCAAGAAATGCAGGCCCCTTCTCCACCCCCCACAATTTTATGGAAATTTTGCCTTTGCGCGGGTTATAGTTAAGGTTCTGTTTCGGTGGCTTAAGCTGCCCAGTTCGTGGTGCTATAATACAACTCCCTGAATAACTCATTGAACAGTTCTCCCGTTGGTTGCAGAGTGGACATACCGAAACCGCTAATCCGTTTTGCAACCATTGAGAAAACTTTATCCTCAATTAATCTCAGAGCTTCGTTGAAATATTCGACGTCATGTGCCGTCCCTTGCGGTTTTTTCGTTTTCCCATAGTTGCAAAGGGTTTGAAAATCCGCAAGGCTTACTAAAACCGCTCCCATTTGATACCTATATTTAAATATTTCATTTAACTTGTTAATTAAAATAATTTTAAACTTTTAAACGGGTGGCAACTCTCTTCAAAGATATTTTCGAAAGAAAGCTTTCTTAACCCTCTCTCGTTTGATACTCATAATTAAACATTTCGTTTAACCTTTTAAATAAATTCATTTCGATTTTCTTAACAGGTGGCATCCTCTTCAAAAATATTTAAAAACAAATTTGTTTTAAACCTCTCTCACTTGGTACCCTTACCAAAATATTTGATTTGTATGGTTATTGACATTGATTTTAAGTTTGTGAAAAGGTGGCAACTATCTTCAAAAATATTTTTGAAATAAATCGCTTTGCTTGAGACCCACATTATTATAATACTTTATCTAACTTAAAAAAAAGGTGAGATTAACTTTTGATAAAAGTGGAGCTAATATAGGTAAACCATTGGCCTGTATCCTTGCAAGCACCAAACTACAAATATTATTTCTTCCAACAAGCTGGTGGGGCTTTGGTATTGCGAGGGGATTCGAATGTTGAAAGTTATCTTTAAATCTAGTTTAGTCATAAGCAGTTATGATACCAAGCCTATCTTCGTAACAAAGGGCAGAACGGAAGTCCTAGGCGCCATCCTCCTCCCAGAGGATGCGGATCTGGAGAGTGTTTGATGAGCGTTATTTTCCTAACCACCGCTATCTCCAATTCGGCTGAGATGGATAGGAAACGCTGATTGGCATAGGTATTTACATAGAGGAGCCTAATAAGATATCCTCAAGAACCGCATTCCAGGGTGCGAGATAAGTCCTCAGATAGTCATAAACTTCAGAAGGTATAAAAAACTGATAATAAAAAGGAAAATATCCTCATGGAGAAATTTTGTAGTGGTGTGAAATCTGTGTGAAAAAGTTATAGGTTAAGGAAAGTGCACTTCATTTCACCTCGCATCGTCGGTTATGCTTTCTAAGATCCGAGGGGCTTTACATGGAAACCATTGAGAAATTCCGGAATCTTCTTCCGAGTACGCACTTTCCATGTACCACAGGTCGCCGCTGAACAGGCCCATGGGAAAAGGTCGACCAGTTGTGCTGGATTTTCGCACTAAAGACAAGTTAGTTCGGCAATAGGATCCTTTAAACCTTCCCCGATTCAGCAATCAATGGAGCTAAGCACTCAATGATTGTAGGTCAGCGATGTTCACGCCAAAACACTTCTGTATTGTGCACCGTGCCTTTAATTTCCCAAAGAATGCCTTACAAAGTAAACATTTTTTCTTGGAATAAGTATTTAAAGTTGAAAAAATTTATTTATGACTAGTTAGGAAATATCTGCACGAAAAAATAAACACGTTATTTGTTTAATACCTGAATTGGTATGCTAAATTTCCACGTTCACTGAAACGATCCAATGATTATGTTCATTTTAGAGGCAATCAAGTCCGACAGGGCATGCAAATGGTATAGAGTTCTATAAAATCAATATTCGATCGGAAAACTCCGTTTCTCTTCAGGAGACTTTCAATAATAATACCCAATTGTTTATTTTACCATTTTTTAATACTTACGATCTTTTATTGGTTCGCCCCGTTGCATTTTTTGGTGTTATTAGGGGACCTGTAAAAATAGCCTTATATAAAAAAATGGTTAAACAAATATTTGGGTATTATTATTAAGAGTCCCCTAAAGAGAAACAGAGTTTGCGGATTAAAAACATAGGTACATAGATTTTCAAGAAGCTTTAAAACTTGTATTGGCTTCAGTTTATCAGGTTTATTCAGTTGAATCGCCGGAGAAATTTATCAGAAATGTGTAAATGGGTTTCCTTACAGATTTTGACAGTGAATTTATAAAGTTTGCACGATTATAAATTGATACGGTTTATTTTTCTGCAGGGATTCCCAATAATAATAATACCCAGTTGTTTATTTAATAATTTTTCTTAGTAACTCTAATATATAGGTCCGCCAGAAACCCATAAAAACCCAGAAAAATGCAATGGGGGGGACCAATAAAAAATCGTTAGTGGTAAAAAATGGTTAAATAAACGATTGGGTATTATTATTGAAAGTCGAGTAAAGAGAACCAGAGTTTTCCGATCGAAAAATATTTATTTTCAAGAATTATATAGCATTTCTACGAAAGTTTTTTATCCTATATAAAATACATGGAAAGCTTTGAGCGCTTTGAGCGATCCCTAAATAATTTTTGAATCGAAAATAAAAAATAGGAGTATACGTTTTTTCGATATATGTATAACAATACTAGGGGGCAAGAGCGTTAATATTTCGACGTTACTCTTTTTGGACCACCCCAATGTACATACGATGGCGTTGGAGGAACTTTTGCTCGTTGCTTGGCTTGCGTCTACAATAATGGACTCTCAGTTTTGATCCCATCGCGAGAAATGATTTAAATTTTTTTATGAGGTTTTTATGAAACAGACTTACTTATAACCGAGATTCCCCATTGTCTGCCGAGGGGTCACAGAAATTGGAAAAAAAATGATTGGCCCCCAAATCACTGTTTCAGCTAAATTATCTTCATAATTATTTTAAAAATTTCCGGTTCAATAATCCATCGACAAAACTCTTTGTTAAACAGAATTTGCCACAAATTTCATGTCGGGGCAATAGCTTGGCCACTGACTCTCACGCAACATAAGCATGTAATTCTTGTTCTTTTTTTTCTTTGGCAAAAGCACTTACAACAGCAACAGCGAATATAACTCGTAGACGTCTTTTTAAAGTACACACGCACATTCTACGAATATTAATTGGATTCCAATCATAGGCCAGTTGAAAAATCGAGCACTCACTATTAAATATTTGAATATCAAAGAAATTTTATTTGCGCATTTTACTTAAATAAGTTTTGTCCATGGAGGGCCACGCTACTTTCGCACTCGTCGGTGAGGTAACTCGAACTGAGCTCTTGGCCGCGGTTAGCAAGTGTTCTAATGCCAAGAAATAAAGAAGAAGATCAGTAAACGATTGATTAAAAGAATAAAATAATACTCGCACTTGTTGGATTGCAAAAATCAACAGCCAATCGCACATTGATTGCTGTTTCCTTGCCTCCCCTTTGCTTTCTTCATTTGCATTAGCTCCAGTATGGGTGGAACAATACAGCGAAGTAGTGAATTGCTAATTAGTAGGTACGAGGCGTGAATTAATTTGCTCATTGAAATAAATTGGTTCTATGGGGTCAGTAATTTCAATTCTTAAATGTTTTCTAACGCCCAACTGTTAATTTTCGTTTCAACTTACGAAATATTAGTTCTATTAACTTTGTTATTGTGTAAATGTACAAGTACGTGTAAATGTGGCAAATGCAAATTGAATTGCACAAAAACTTTCAATTTTTTTTTTTAATAGTTTAAAGCGGCAGAAGCACATCTTCTCATAAGTCTTCTACTTGAGCAGCTTTGTGCGCATAATGCATTGGCGTCAACTTCATTGTTCAGTCAAACTAGAGCTCAACCCCCAAGATCCATGAACACTAGGGTGCATCGCCAAAAATGAAAAAATTCAGTTTTTCAACCGGAATTATGAAATTTATTACATTTAAGGACTTCCGCCAAAATAGTTCGGAAAAATCTAAGAAATCCTGGAAATCCAAAAATCTTATATTTGGATTCCGTCTATAAAATTTTTAAATATTTTTTATACACCTTTTAATCTTAAACCTTTCTACTATTTGAAGCGGATTTTTAGAAACAGTAGTTAAAAAAGAGCTGGTTTTATTTATAAAAATCTCGATTTTTTCACTCACTTTTCCGAAATAACTTGGCGGAAATCTTAAAGTATAATATCGAGCCCTAACCGCCAAAATAACGTAAGCGACATTTTTTTCAAAAGTTTCTTTTAGATGCAGAAATATTCCTAGAGCATCTAGTTACATTTCTGCATCAAAAAGAAAATTTTGAAAAAAATGTCGCTTACGTTATTTTGGCGGCTAGGGCTCGATATAGTTTATAGTTCCGATAGACAAGCTATAACGTTTTTTTTAGTATGTCGAGTGATGCACCCTAATGTACATGCATAAGTACATACATATCAGTAAACAAAAATTTAACACGAAACGAAAGCTATTGAACTCTTTTATCGACAATTTATTTAGGCTGTATTGTATTGCCATCAAAACACTGGGCGCAGGAAGTACTTGCAAGGCATACGGTTTTATATGCATTTTTTGAACGCATTCCTAAACAACTTGTTTTATTGCGATGAAATTTTGGTGAGCTATGTATACCAAATATAAACCCAGAAATTTGGTGACGATATATTTTAATTAATACGCAGCATAACGTGCTCCAAGGCGCAGATAAATCGTAACCGTTGACAGGATATCGAATTTATTTTTCTGGTTCACAACTAGAACCACCTCTTGTAGATGAAAAAGTCATTCTGAAATTACTTCAACAACAGATTGTAGAAGTCGTACTATATTAAATGTCATTCAGGCCAACCAATTTGGGCCACATCGTGCAATTTTTGGCCCCATTTAATTTCAAATAGCATCTAATTTTTCAAATTGGACCAAGGTGCCAAAATGGTACTTTTAGAAAATAGTATTATTCCGGCAGGTTCAGCAATTCACTTCGGAGTGAATTTGAGTCAAGCTCGCTTCGAATTCAAATTGGCAGGGGTTGAGATTCCCTCGAAAGTGAATTGCAGAACCTACCCGATTTCAACGCATTTTTTTAAATCCATCTATCTACAGTAAAACCCGCTTAAGTACCTCACGAAAAATGTCAGCTTTTTGAGGTACTTAGGCGGGTTGGGTACTTAAGCGGGTACTTAAGCGAACATAATTTGTGATGTAGTTACATCTTCTTGTTAACTTACATAAATAAGTCCTTGAATAAAACATGAACATTTAATGAAGTATACGTAATTTAAAACCAAGATCGTAGCATTATTTAAACACGTAAAAGCATAAAGGAAAACTTTATTAAAAAAAAAAACAGATAAAGCATTTTTCTGTTATTTTCCCAAGAATTAAATTAAAAAGTCATTGATTATACATATTTATACATACATACAAACAGGGCTTATCTCTTTGGTCCAAATTCAAAATGATATTGTTTGCCACCTATGTATGCTTATATTTTAATTTTTAAAATCTTTCTACCATTTTTTCAAATTGTTGTTGCTTTTCCACAATAAATTTTTCATTTAAAAATGGCCTCGAGCTCATTATAAAATTGTTGAATATAATTGTTAAATGGCCAAAAAATAACAAAAAACAAATAACTTAAGGACGAGCACACCTAAAAGTTAAGCATTCTAAAAATAGAATTATTAGCACAAACCAACAAAACCAACAACCACATGATCAAGTGAATTGCAGCGGAATAGCTGCGCTTGATTGTGTTGGCATAACAAAAATGAAAATAGTGGAAAAAAGCAAACGATAATTTACAAGGCGTACTTAGCACGGTGCATAGGCAACTGGCTGAGTCAGTGGGATCGTCGGTTCGAATCCTACTGAAAGAAGTCTGATGAGGAAATGTGGTGATTTCCGAAATAGCTATCACTTCTACCATTTTTTCAAATTGTTGTTGCTTTTCCACAATAAATTTTTCATTTAAAAATGGCCTCGAGCTCATTATAAAATTGTTGAATTTAAAATCTTTCAATTAAAAAAAATTAAATTAAATTAAAAAATTAAAAAAAAAAGTTCATTCCCTAACAAATACCATAGAAACTTAAGATGTAAGCTTAAAATTGTGTAGAACACTGAAAAGATTTATCAAAATTTCAAACTTGTTTATCAGAAGTGTTAAAATTTTGTATGCGTATACAGTTTTATAGCCCATTAATAATGCGGCTAAAAATTACCGTTGATTTTTTAGAATCTTTTTGCCGAAGGTGTGTAGCGCTGCCACTGAATTTCAAAATAGGTAAGTGTTTGAAGAAATTAAAAAAAAAGGACTTAAGAGGGGAAAATTATAAGTAAAATGGTAAATGGGGTACGAAAAGTGTAGGTATGCATGGTACAAGAATTACAGGTATTGTTTATCTTCCCAGAGAGCTCATATTCCAATCTACCTTATTTAGAAAATATCATTGTTGCCCACACTAAAACGTTTACTGCTAGGAAAAGGGATATTTCCATACCCCATATATCATATATGTACACGTACATATTTTTTTAAACAAACCATCTTGCAGAGAGCTTATATAATTTGCAAACGCTGAAAAAAAACATTTGCTTAGTAAATAGATTCAAAGTTTGTACGGCTCACTTCATTTCAAACGTGTTTTATTTTGTTAAGAAAAATTATAAAAATGAAATTGAGCGAAAACAAAAAGCAAAGCCAAATAAAGGTAAAATAATCAACATTGAACTGCGTCAAAATGAAAATAATAAGTATAATTGCACCCCTGCTTCACATGCGCTGCTAGTCTATGCCCTGCACTGAAATGTAAGTAACGGGTGATTTTTTTGAGGTTAGGATTTTCATGCATTAGTATTTGACAGATCACGTGGGATTTCAGACATGGTGTCAAAGAGAAAGATGCTCAGTATGCTTTGACATTTCATCATGAATAGACTTACTAACGAGCAACGCTTGCAAATCATTGAATTTTATTACCAAAATCAGTGTTCGGTTCGCTTTACGTCCGATTTATGGTCTACATAATCGACCAAGTGAGCAAACAATTAATGCGATTGTGACCAAGTTTCGCACTCAGTTTACTTTATTGGACATTAAACCAACCACACGAATGCGTACAGTGCGTACAGAAGAGAATATTGCGTCTGTTTCTGAGAGTGTTGCTGAAGACCGTGAAATGTCGATTCGTCGCCGTTCGCAGCAATTGGGTTTGCGAAACACATTTCGAACCGAACACTGATTTTGGTAATAAAATTCAATGATTTGCAAGCGTTGCTCGTTAGTAAGTCTATTCATGATGAAATGTCAAAGCATACTGAGCATCTTTCTCTTTGACACCATGTCTGAAATCCCACGTGATCTGTCAAATACTAATGCATGAAAATCCTAACCTCAAAAAAATCACCCGTTATAACCAGTGCTTTATTCATTGCGCTGAAAAACTAGCTGAAAATACTAAGGGTAGTGGGAGACTAGTTATGTTATTGCAGAAGATAAACAAAGAAGAAAAGGATTAGGGTTGGGTTAGGTAACCGTGTAACCGGAGCTCATTTAGATAGCACAATTTTGAATGGCACCCCAAACTGTATCTATAAAACGTTCCGAGCAGATTATGTTTTTACGAATTCGGCTGATCTCAATGCCCCAGAGCTCTTTGGGGCTATTTAGAAAGTGAGAGCCAAGGTACTTCCCTTAGCTTCGCTAACGCTGGCCACCTAAGAAGGTAGTGTTGAGGTGATTCCACCTCGTCCTCTTCCAGGCAACTGATCCACGCTCACGCCAGAAGGACCCTGCGATCGCGCAATTCGTGGTTTTAGCCCAGCTCTCGCTGAGCTGACATGAGGTCCATCTAACCAAGAGTGTACCACAAGCGATCAATGGCACCCCCAGCCGCTCTTTATCTGGTGATAATGTTTCACGAGTACCTTCCCTGGCCAGTTCGTCAGCCGCACAGTTCCCCTCAATATCGCTGTGACCCGGAATCCAGAAAACATTCCTTAACCAAGTTAGAGCGCTCCTCCAACAAACTTAAAGCCTTGACAGCCGCTGGGCTGTCGGAATATACCCTCACTTCCCTGACAGTTATAACGCTCCTTAGCAGGGAAACCACCGCCTTCCGGATAGCAGCTACTTTCGCCTGGAATACACTGCCGAAGTCCGGGAGCCTGAACTTAGTGCTGATGGTAAGCTCTCGACAGAAGACCATCCGTAAAGAAGTCACACCTCCTCCAGAAGTGCCGCCCGGCCCACTCCAACCTTGAGGGAAAGTAGACAGAGAAGAAGCTCCTAGGAGCCATTTCGGTGGCGCAGTAATCCGTACGATCAGAGATGAGATCGAAGCCCCCTAGAACTCTAGAGTGTCCAGTCCCTAAATTGGTCAACCAATCAGTTTCCCAGCGCCGCGACAATTCTGCCTGCAACGTCGACAGGCACTACGTTCAGCATTACGTTCAGTGCTAATGTTCATCCGTCTCATTTTGTTTATATACTCTCCACACTTGTTTGTGAAATTCTATCAGGTGAAGTAATACGGAGACATTTTTGAAACTATCGTATTTAAATCTATGGCTCATAATTTTTATTTTTGCAAAAACGTATATTCCCGAGAAGTACAGCAAAAGAAGACTTTCTCAGAAATATTTTACGAGAAAATTTTTTTCCTAAAAGAGATTAACTTTCTCGTAATTTTTTCCAATGCCTTGTCTGTATTAAATGCCATTCATCATTAAACACATTAGGGCTGTACAGGATATCGTGGAAATGGTCTTTGATTTGCAGTTGGGATTGCATTTGCAAATTGTATGCTTGCTACCATGGCAACCGTGTGCATTCTATTGTTGTGAATTTACAAATGTACCGAATATGCAAATGCAAGAGCATATGCCTAAGGCCTATGGTTTTGAGTTTAGGATTCCCATATAAAAGTTAACTTATGACATAAAAAAACAAAATTTAACTTATTTAGTTCATGCGGAATACCTTCATAGCAAAAAGTGTCGATATGAGTAGGTGTCGATACTTTAGATCCAATATTTTTGAGGTTTGCTCGAAGTCGTTCATGGTGAAGTGAAGCCCATACGCTTTGCGTGTGTTAACATTAGACAGTGTCCTTTGAGAATACCAACAACCACTGAGCTAATGAAGAGACGATCAAGAAAAAATAGGGACTCAGATCTGTTTCCATCCATAATTGGTTAGATTTTCCCCGTTGCGTCCCTAGCCCAGCTGTGGTTGTGGTTAGCTTGAAAATAATGTCTGAGGTTAGTTCCTTTCTTCTATCTCCGTGCACGGGAACCCAGATTACATTAGTTGTGCAACGCGCAGATACCTTCGAAGAGGTATTGTAATACTATATAACAGGGGTGGGCAAGGCCGAGGCCGAAAAGAGCCACATGTAAATTCTAATTGCCACAAAGAGCCAAAAAAAAAAAAACAAAAGCAAATATTTAAATTTTAAATAAAATTACTATTAGAAATTAAAAACATTAATTTTATTATTATTCTAATGAACATAAGGTAGATATTAAAGAAAATTCAAAAGATCCCTTTGGCCAAATTTTCAAGATATGGTTTTACATCAGTTAAAGCCGTTCGTAACGACTCGGTTAAATATTCGTTTAAAATGTCCAACAGCAAAATTTCGGCGTAATGTCATCTGTTCTATTACAAGAAAAAAATATCCAAAATAATACGCGCACAGAAAATTTGCAGAAACTTGCAAATTAGATGAACAGCTGATCAAAGGACACTGATATTCCAATCTTCAGGCATGTATTTATCAGACCAACTTCTGCTTAATAGCTGGTACATACGCCCGACCAGCTCTTCGCCACCGGCTTTGAACAGCACAGCCGGTATACCGTCGGCTCCGGGGGCCTTGTTGTTTTAAGCCGCCTTATTCCTGTTCCCACCTCGTCTCAACATCTCATGTGTACTCTGGACAATTCTACAGGAACCAGAGCCGGTCTTGAAACGATTTGATTGCTGCCTTATTTTCTGTCAGCATCTCAAGCTCTTCGCATTCACGTCTTTCTTCGCCTTGTTTCTTTCTTTTGAGTAGACGTCGCTCGCGTAGTTATTGGCTGCAGGATGGCTTTGTATGCTGCGTATTTCTCTGCAGCAGCCGCACGGCACTCTTCGTCTTACCAGCTGTTCCTGCGTGGAGGTAGTATCCAGCCCTCTCTTCCGCACCTTGACTGGCAATGTTGGCTCCTCGTGGATAGAAAGTACATCATGGATGCTCGAAGCGTATCCTTCGTCTATCGCAACATGATCTATTTGGTTCTTCGTTCTTTGATCAGGGTATACCAAAAACGTTTTGGGATCGATCTGCTTCTCTCCGTTCTCGGAGGTATTGTCCTGGAGGCTGAATTTTCCGACTGCAAGACCAAAAATGCCTTCCCTGCCCACCCTGGCGTTGAAGTCGACCAGCGCGATTTTAACATAGTGGCGGGGGCAGCGCTCATATGCTTCCTTTAAGCGCATTAATTTCATCGTCATCATAGAGGGTCCGGACATTCCAAGTGCATATCCGTAATACTAACACCAGAGCGTTTCTTACAGGAAAAAAGGCCTCTTGAGTTTTTAAAAAAGTTTTTTATTTTGTTTTTATACATTTCATGAGTGTGTATTTTTATTTTTGTTACGTATTTACATTTGTATGTATTTACATTAACACTTTTTCCTTTTTTCTTTGCCGTTCATTGAAAATATTTTACATTAATTTGTAGACATTTTATTAAAAAAAAAATACATGAAACTATCGTAGGTACAGCACAATTAGTTGGAGAACATTGTAGGCCCTTGGCTAACCACAAGGCGTTCACAAACACTTATGCAAACATAAACAAATTAATAATGTATGTAAAATGTATGGTGTTGGTTTCCATTGCTTCATAAATGATTATAATTAAATTTACCATTAAAAAAAAAAACAAAGTTAAAATACAAGTACATTAAAAACATTATAATATAATACAAAAGAGCGCTCATGAGTGATACAAGTGAGACGAGATGAGAGAACTTGAGCGCCTTTTTGAGGAGAATAAGTGAGAATATAAGAAGCAAGCTATTCATAAATGTCACGGAAAAGGCTTCACAAATAAAGAAATTTTAGATAAGAAATATGAGTAAACTGAAATGAAGGAATTAAGTATCAGCTTAAGATAGGTTGATTATTATGTAGTCATAAGTATCAGAAGACAGACTGTTAAAGTAAATTAAATGCAAATGACAAGATTCTAGACAAGTTATGTGACGACTATCGAGAGCGAGCTGGATACAATAAAAAAATAAAGAATATTGAATGTTTGATGATAAATGAGAGCATCCAATTTTTTTTTGTTTTACTTTTAATGCACAGTGACCGGCTCATTTATACGCAACGGATTGTAACGCATGGAGTTCTAATTCATGTGAGTGGAGTGGAGCGATGTTAAGCACAAAGAAACTAGAGAGCGAAATTATTCACATGTAAAATTCTTCTCGGAACTTTGAAAGATGGCACAAATAAATTTCACTTTTTCTTCCCTTAATGTTGCATACTTATTAACCCGATGCCAAATCATCTGAGAAATTACCCAAATTTCTTTGAATACATGGGATTTTGTACAGGCATCTTTAAACTTTTTAAAACCCTATCAGTAGCTCGTTTCTGTAACTCATCTCTACCGATTATTTCTCTACTGGTAGAGAATATACGTTATCCTCTACTACTCATAAGCAGTAGAGAAAAGGGCGGCGAATTCATAACTCAATTCGCCTTGGTAGAGAATTGTTACAGATACGAGCTGCAGAGATGTAGAAGCTAATTAGTAAACATTTCCTAATTTAAGAAAGTATAATAGCCGATTTCACCAGCAGTTTAAATGGAAAGTGATTTCTTTTTTCTCTTCTGTCAATTTTTCACTTAAGTTGCTTTCCTGAAAGTAAGTCTTGAAAGTAAATATCTAGAAAGTCTTAGAGAATGTAGTAACATAAATATTTTACAAAAGTGTAGAAAAAGATATAAAAAGCATTTCTGAGTATTTATGAACGTTTAGCTTTAGGATATGGGATGTGTTACTAGACCCTAAATTCATTCAAGATAGTGACAGTTATGTGAACAATTTCACTCTCTAGTTTGAAAGCCGAAACCAAGCTTAAAAATAAACCTCACTGTTTGAAAATATGAAAAAAAAGTTTGAATTAGAAGAAGATATAACTCATTAGATAGGCATTGAAAGTTTGTAAAAGAGAGTTGAAAATGAAAAAGTCTGTGTGCGAACAAAAGTATAGTTAAGAGAAAGAAAGTAAGTCCCTACATTACATAATATGAACGATGATCTCCATTTTCGTCTACTATTACTATAACTACTACTCCTTCTTCTTCTTCTTCTACAATATTTGTTTAATAAAATAAAACATATATACGATAAACTTGTTAAACTACGAAGAGTGAGTGAGTGAGTGAGAGAGAGAATGTAATATCATTTCATTTCATTTGTTTGTTCTATTCCTGCCTTTTCAACATTTTAATCGCTTTCATCGCCTTTTGAATAAACCCTTGTTTAAACATTAATTATCGATTAGTTGCATTTAAAATCGCTTAACATATTATTCGATAAATGCAAGTACCCGTTTGCATTGCGAGTACAATGATTGATTGAGTTAATGAGTATGTGAGTGGGTGTGCAAATATTGTAAGTGGCTGGGTGGCGAGTGGTGAAGAGGTGGCTGTCCTGTTTGTAAGATCGTTTGGTCAACCCCTCGACGTTATAAATCACGTACAGCTTTCCAATCGATTCCAAAATCCATTCAATTCTAAAACGATCTTATTTTCAAGTTCCAAATCCAATTCTTCCAAACGTCATTCGGCCAAACGGTTAGCCCATTTAATAGTGATGCAGAAGCGGAGCAGGCGCATGTGCCAGTAGAGGAGCGTGTGCCAACACCGGGGCATGAGCGATTACTTTGGGTGCCGTTTTGTGTACGACAGCGTTGAATCCGTTGTGATCATCAGCAGTGTAATCAACAGTGCGCACTGAACCATCGGGTTCGACGAGCGAGTATTGGCCCTTTACTACATCGCCGTCACGTTCTTCGGCTTGCGATTTAATGTCACCAGTGTGCGGATCTTTAATGCCATAGTTGAAAGAGTATTTCGGGTATGCCTAAATGAAGGAAAAGAATTTAAGTATGCAAAATAGACTTATTTTTTGTATTTAATAAACATTAAACAAACCACAGGCTCGGCATGCACAGCGTGGGCTAAAACTGGGGCATGGGCTAACAGCGGCCCTGGATAATGTCCATACTCTATGGGTACAGCTTGGGCGGCAGCAATAAGGAGGACAATAGCAATCAAGTACTGTGTACAAAAAAAGAAACAAATTTTACATCTTTACTATTTATTGAGTACATTTGTACTAAAGGAATGAGTGGTAACTATTTTCCTTTGAGAATTTACACAAATTGCTTGGTAAGCTGTTGACAGCTAAGATTATTATATTTACACTCGTATATGTACATACTACTCAACTAGCTAGAAATTCGCTAGAAGCTCACTATTTTCCAACTATGTAGTGTTGTAGAGTGACTAAATCTCGACTACTTAACATTGCTAACATGATTTTACAAATCGTTCACCTTTTTTGCCTTCATAACTTAGATTCGGCTAAAACTATTTTTATTCTGCGTACAGGAGTCCAGGCCTGTGGGGAAAGTTGTTGATCTTTGCTTCTAGTTAAAGCAGCTCACGATTTGCGATGTTTACACGAAATATCCTCTGGGTAGCAACCGTACTTACCATCCACTTGGAAAAATCTACCAAAACTGTGAAATATCTACCAATAACTTTTTAATTGGTTATTGTAATAAAAACTATAGTTTTGTTATTTTTTCCGTTATTTCAAAAAGAATTCGAACTGTGTTTAAGGAAATTTTTATTTTACTAATTATACGATGTTTGCACTATTTCCTGTAAAAACATCAATCGGTTTTTTTTACATGTCATTGGTACAACACTGATTTGGCTGGAATATCACTAAATAATTGATAAAATCTATACATATTCAAATATTTCGTTGTTTACTTCGATTTTTTTTCAAATATAAGGTTCTTTGCTTTCACCGCTTTCTGTTTTTGTTTTCACCTGCAAATCAGCTGATCGTTTGACACTTTTCATGAACGTACAGGAAAAAAAACTCCGGACTAAATCCTGTAACTTCTGACTAGGAATAGTTGCTCAGTTACTCTCTCAAAGGTGTTCCCACTTACAGGTTTTATGTCAATAGGAACGACTTCCTGTAAGTTCTGACTAAATCCTGTAAACTGGACTGCTATTGGAACAGACTAATAGATAAATACAGTGACTCAAAAAACCGCTTGGTAATTATTTTATATTCACCTTTTTCCAAGCAAACATTTTTTGGTATTTCTTTATAAGAATATTATATATATATATATATATTATAAGAATAGTGCTTGGCACTTAAAAATCAAGGATTCAAGCTAAATACAACATTTGGAAAAATTCAAAAAATTTTATTCTAAATTTCGAACATTTCACTCTGATTTTTTTTAACAATTTAAGGTATGGAATTTTATAGCCTATAATATTTGAGCATAACCAACAATGTGCGCCTAAAAATTCCCGTTGGTATTTTTGAATTTTTTTATCGCCAATATTTTGTGTTTTTTTTTTTTGTTTAACTATTGCCGTAACTGTTTAGCTCATTATACATATACCACCATGCGACAGTAAATTTTACAGACAAAAATCAATATGTTTACTCCGACGTCAGTAATTCAAAAATGATTTTAAAAATTCAGTGAAATGTGCTAAGAGAAGAAGTATAGGTATCTAATTAAAGAGGAAATTCTGTAGAATTTAAGCAGATTCAATGCTTTAGTGCGTAAGGACTGGTAAGTATTGAAAAGGTCTTTCTAAAATTGTATCCTTGAAATTTCGCAATATTTGTTTTTGAAAAAATTATTTGTTAAGGACTTATATAAAATCGCTAACAACCCCAAATTTCGTCCTTCTAACTTTATCAGCTTAAAAAGTTACCCATTCGTCCTTGTGAATCCAAAAAAAAAATTTTATTTTTATTAATTAATTTTTTTTTAAATTCCAAAGAAATTTCCTCTTTCATTTGGTACCCATATTTTTATTCTACAATGCATTGAATTTTTTAAATAATTTTTGGAATTAATCATATCTTCCAAATTACGAAGTCCTTTAAAATAAATCCTGACGTCAGAGAGAAAAATTAAAACGCTACTTTAAAAAAGTAGGTTTAAAACTCATTTATTTATTATTTAGAAGAAATTTTTTCGATTTAAATTGTGGAAAAGTAATGAATATCTAAATCCCGAGACTAATCCCGGGATTCCGGAATTGTGATGACATCCCCAAAATTCCGGGATCACAAAGAGCGAAAAAAGTAACATCCCTAGTAGTTACGTAGCTGTCCATTTTTTCTTGTTATTTAAGAAATCATTTAAAATAGTTAGGCAATCAAAAGCTCCTCGGAAATCCAGTTAAATGAGTTTTGAGTGGAGCCAGATATGTTCGCCTTTTATCGATACATATTTATACGTATGTATATAAAAAGTGTGCATTATAGCATTCGAAAACGAATGCAATAAAGTAGATAGCACTTTTGGAAAGAAATTTGTAATGAAAAGATAACTATGAAAAATGAAACGATAACGAAAGTTTTTTTTTTAATTTTTCAAACAAAAATCCACCAAAATGAAAAAAATATCTTTATTTACATATCTTTTTATATCTCAATTTATCGTTTTTCTTTATTTTTTTCAGTTTTGGTAACAATATACCAAAGTGGCAACCTTGGACTGTTCATCCGTTCGGAAAATTGCTAATTATGAGAAGACGAGCCCCGCCTCCCTACTGCAGCAATAGGTTGTGCGCTGAGCTTGGAACCCGCCTCGTGAAAAGAAACTCAACGGAAGAACCAATCAAGCATCGGATGATACCAACGATTGAGGGCGTGCACGTATGAATTTCCGGACTCATAATGGGGAGGATCTTCTCATAAAGACAAAGACTGACATCCATCTCCATCCAGGACATGCGATGGACAGGGCAAGGTATACAAAATTTTGGATCTTGTGATGTCTACTACAGCTGCCATGCACAACTTCCATGGGCCGGTGGAAGTTATTTTAGACTTAATTTCCACCCTAATCTGGAAAATCTTCCATTGAAGTTAATTCAATATAAAATTTCCATCAACTATCACATGGAAGCTATGACGTGAATTAACTTCTACAAAAATTTTATCGCCAAAGAGGGGCAGGTCATCTAGTAAGCTGGCTCCGTCTCATTATTATCTGGGATGGAATATCATTTAAGATCTCAGTGCAGCAGTTTAACTTAATAATTGCTTTCATCATGATTTAACCTACATATATATGTATGTATTACCACATCCGATGAGGCGGCTCTTGGAGCATTCGAGAGAAAGATTTTTCGAAATATTTACGGGCATTTACGCGTTGGCGACGGCGAGTACCGCAGACGATAGAGCGATGACCTGTCTAAGCTTTACAGAATTCACATGATACAATTTCGCAAGGATTTATTTTATGTACAATTGATACGGATTTTGAACCTTCCAGAATTGGGAGCTTCAAAAGTGTTTGCATTCGAATTTTTCAAAGAAAACTCTATCAAGTCATTATGCCAAACAATTTTAATACCTACTGGTCCTTATACACCAAAAAAATTCATATGCTTTAATCCTGCAAATTTTCTCTTTAATTTGATACCCACAATGTTTTTGCACATTGCCCTGAATTTTTTAAACAACATTTGAAATAATCATATTTTTGAAATTTAAAAGTGCTTTAAAAAAAACCTGGCATCAGAGGGAAAAACTAAAAGCACAGTTTCACTATATTTGCCCCGTGGTTTCGCAAATATATTTTTGTGTGTAAAATTTACTGTCACACTGTGTACCCAAAAATCAGCGCAATTTTCTTATAACTATAAATTTCCACATTGTTATACTAAAATTTAATCATTTATTTTAATATTGTAAATCCGAAAGTAAGTTTGTTTGTTTATTACGCTTTCACGCCTTAACTACTCAACCGATCATCATGAAATCGTATGCATTGGTGTCATTTAGCCCAGCTTAAAATATACGATAGATTTAATCCTGAATAGAAGAGGGGGCGTGACACCTCCCATACACACGGAATTTTTCATACTGCGTATCTCAGGAGATATTTGTGATAGAGTACTGGAACTCGTAATAGTAGTTTGAAAATAATAAGAAAGGGGTTGCCACCTGTTTGAAAAATCAATTTTTAATTAATTATTCGCAAGCCATCTGAAAAATTAAAATATGGATTTCAAACGAAAGATTGTTAGGAAACCTTCAGGTTAAACATCTAGAATATTATCGAGGTGTTTTACAAAGGTTGCCACCCGTTTAAAAATTAAATTATATTAATTGTAATGAATTACTACCATGTGGGCATCAAACGAAATGTTTTTGAAAACCATATGTAGGAGGGTTGCCACCTGTTTGAAAATCACATGCCACTTGAATTAAGGGAATTGAGTAATTGAAATATGGATGCCAGACGTAAGGGATTTAGTAAGGTTTTAGTTGGAAATGAGTTATTACCATATAGGTATTAATGGATAAAGTCTTATGTATAGCAGGGTTTCCACGTATTTGAAAATTCAAATGCAACTTGAATTATAGGAATTAGGTTATTTGAATACATATGTATGTATGTATTACAATATGAGTGTCAGACGTGAGAGGTTTAAAAATGTTGCCAAATGTATCAATCGAAGTAGTTTCGAAAAGGTTTCATTTCTAAACTACATGTAATGCTCGACTTCTTCCACTAGGCATTAAATGGCAAAAATGGTAAATGACAAAATTGGGCATTAAAAAATAATCGTGTCTTTATGATAAAAAAATACATTTTTTGTCATTTCAATGCCTAATGGAAATTCGGCATAAGTAAGAAAAAATATCACAAGAGAGAGGTTCAAGAAAGTTTTAGTTTGGAAAAGGTGACTTAAAAATCTTAATTCTCTTGTTTTTGGCACAATTTAAGTATGTTGAGTTTTATTGAAATAAATTACACCTAATTAGGCTTGGGTAGTTCTTGAACTAAATGAACTAAAGAACTAGTTCATCACAATGAACTACTGCACTAGTTCGGTATTTTCGGTCTGTACTAAATTTGTCAGTGCTACTATTTCTCATTTTGGATCCAAATATCCATGGCACGAACGTATGATATGAATTACAGATACTTTTTAAAACGCTTTTGCAGTGCTACTACTTCAGAACTACAACAGAACGGTTCCCTCAA